TCACCACACCCTAACAAGGAAGCACTGTTCTGCCTGCCTTTTATCAACAGAAAGGCCAGGCCCAGGGAGGCTGCTCACACGGTGCCCCACTCGGAGCAGCAATGCGGCAGGAGGTGAGGGGGGGCAGCAGTGAAGTCAGAGCAGATGCAGCCCCCCCCCCACACACACACACAGTGACCATTCTGGTTCGCTTCCTCTAGAGCTTCACTTCCGCCCTGACAGGTGTGTTTCTACCGGTCAAACCAGTTCCAGAGACTCCATTTCCCGACTCCATTTCCTGTGCAGGTTCCAATGAGAACAAACAGTGTGGCATGTCCACCCTGTCCAGTCCCTGTGTGAGAACCCCGTGGTCACTGTCCCTCCCCAGATCTTCTCATTTCCTCCTTCATCTCTCCAAGCTCAGGTGGCCAGAGACACCTTGTCTACTTGGGTTCCCTTCACCCTGTGATGCCTCTACTGCCCACAAGGAGTTTCCTGGTGGGCAACACCCCTTCCAGGGCTGATCCTGGCTGGAGGTCAGGGAGAGGGAATGAGTCATCAGCGGGATTTGGATGGGGGGGACCCTCAGGCTCCCAGACTGGGGCTGGTGTCACGTGCTCTAGATCACAAGCTACTCTCTCAGGCCGCCTGGCAAACCCCAGGCCTCCTTCTGACTCCGGCCTTCCCTGCAGTTTGGTCTGCAAGGGTTCCCGGTACAAAGGGGACCTGGGCCTGCAGAGGAGCAGGAGCCTCAAAGGACAGAACAGCCCCTCTTCCACTGGCACCAGTCCCTGACCCCACATTTGCCAGTTATACCTCAGGCCAGCTTCACTTCCCCATCCACACACATGTGCCCTGGCCCAGCCTCGACTTCACATGAGGACACTAACAAGAGCACGGGCCTGGTCGAGGCCACACAGCTGCACAGCCCGTGGTGGTCCTCCAGCCCTTCCCAAGTGACCACAGCTGCTTTTCCAGGGGGGCTGGGGAAAAGGCGGGAAATAGGATGACTCAGCATCTGCCCTCCCCTCTCAGTGACGGAAAGACCACTGAGAAGACAACTAACAAACATACAGTGCAATGAGGAAAAGAAAGCAGGCTCTAGTGAGGACCACTCTGTGGGAAAGGAAGTCAGGAAGAGCCCTTCTGAGGCACTGGTGGGCCCTTACCATCTAGGATCCCCAGAGGGCCTGGTCGAGGGGGTGGCACTGTCCAGCGGGGCATCCAGTTGTAGCCCATTGTCCCCACCACCACCACACAGAGTGACCCTCAGTCAGGGCTGACCTCCCCTCTCTCTCAGGCGCTGCCTTCCCCAGCCCTGGACCCTCATCACCTGACCAGGCACTTCTCCGTCTCTACTCTGGAAACGTCTCTGATCATTGAGACTCACCAACTCCTTGGCCAGCCCTCAGCCTCGGGGTCACATCACTAAGCAGGCGCCACAGAGACTCTTCCATCACCCTTTCCACTCAGGTGACCCCCACTCACTCACCATGCTTTCTTTGAGCCGTACAAACGCCAACCATTCCCACTCCTGCCCCAAGACCAACCAACTGCTCCCTACCCCAGCCCAAGACCCTTCGGCCTCTCGGCTAGGTAGGTCGGGAACTGCAGTTCCTCTTCTACAGCCTGGAGAACCCTCTGCCTGCCTCAGCCCTGTGGCCAGGCACAAAGGCCACTAACTTCTCCTTGACATTCACAGGCCATCCAATGTGCCTGTAAATCCATTGTCCAAACTCATTGACCCCTCCACAACTAGGGCCCAAGGCCACACCAATGCCTTCAGCGTCTGGCTAACTCACCCTCTCTCCTCAACCACAAGACACACCAACTCATCCAACCCATATAACCTGATGCCATCACCTCTCTACCTCAGAGCTAACCTGAGTCCTGACCTGTTCTTACTGCCCCTTGTCAGACCTTCCAGAAGGAGACTCCCTGGCCTGTATGCTCCCACCATCCTCACCAGGGCAGACCAACTAGCAACTTGCCATTCCACTCCCAGACCCATTCAATTCCACACAACCTTCTGCCTGAAAAGGCATTTTCCTCTCCTTTCAAATTCACTCTCTCCCCACAGCTGCCTCCATACTGCAGCCCCTTGTGGGTGGAGAAAATCTGCCTGAACATGAAAAATAGAACGGCCCCCGAGTCACTTCAAACTCATGGCAACTCCATGTATGTCAAAGCAGGACTGTGCTCCACAGGACTTTAATGGCTAACTTTTGGGCAATAGATTGCCAGTCCTTTCCCCCAAGGCACCTATGGATCAACTTTCTGTTAGCAGTCAACACATCAACTGTTAACTGTCAAGCCCTCAGGGACTCCCCCTCAATAATAACAGCTGATAAGAAGGAGGTCCTGGGAGGTGGCAGGAATTTAAAGGGGCCATCTTGTTTAATTCTTACAACTGCCCTCAAGTAAGAGTCCTGGTGAGGCACTGTAGAATAAGCACTGGACTGCAAACCACAAGGTTGGCAGTTCAAACCCACCAGCTGCTCCTCGGAAACCCTACACAGGGTCGCTATGAGTCGGAATTGACTCAAGCAGAAACAAATGCTTCCATCTGCACAGAAAACATAGCAAGTAACCTAGAAGCTCAGAAAAGAGAAAGAACTTCCTCAAAGTCAAGCAGTTAGTTATAAACAGCTGTTCCTCTCCTGGGAACTGGTAGGCCAAAAACTGTCCTTCCCAACTTGTAGCAAACTCTTCAATTGCTCCTGCCACTAACCCTCCAGTCTATAAAGTGACCATCATCTTCTCTTGCCCCTCTCCCAAGGAGCTACACATAATCAAATTACCAATGTCTCTCTGCTGCAGGCCCAAGTCAGACTCCTCCTCACTCCACTGAACCCAATGAAGGTGATTTTTTCCCAGCTTCTTAAACTGATGGTCTCTTGACTGGGTCAAACCTCTGTGTCTCCTCCCTCTGCCCACAAATGATCACCATCTCTGCCCCTTACCTAGAAACTTCTAAAGCAGCAACATCCAGACCCCAGGGAACTCCAAAACCTATTCCCCTACAATGGCCCCTAAAACGACCACCATGGCTTTAACAATAATAACAGTCACCGCAACTTCACAAAGGCTCACTCTGGCCAATCATACATCATATCTTTAAGTTATTTCATCAACCCTGTGGCATGGCTACAATCACCCATTTTACAGATGAGAAAACGGAGGCTCGGGGGAGTAAAGCAACTGAGGTCACATGCTGGGTTAAGTTGCCGTCAGGATTTGACCTGGACCCCCTACTCTAAACCACCACTCTATTCTACCTCTCCAGGTCTCTTTGCCCTCTTGCTCCAAATTCCCTTCTGGAGCCCAAGCTACAGCCAGAGCCATTCTGACTCATGTCTTCCTAGATCTCAGTCCCTCCAACCTCAAATTGACCCTCTATCCTTGGGGCCTAGACCTATCTGGCTCCTAATGCCAAGAGTCCTAAATCCCCCACCTTTTCGCCAACAATAACCAGGCGGACACTATGGCAGCTCCGTGGGGTCAGCTTCTAGTGACCATATTTCTACTCTCACCCTTCAACTCCTCCAGGGGCCCACAGACTGCTAGCCATTCCTACTCCTTTCCCAGTGGGGCAGCAGAAAAAAATGCCAGAAAGCCGTGGCCAATTTGATTCCTCCCGGCACAAGACTCCTTCTTCTCCGGTTAGACTGCGACACTCTTCAGCACAGAAGGAGACTCAGGACCACCTGAGTGTGCCAGAACCTACCACTTGCCACCTCCGCAGCGCCCGGCTTCTCCTAGGGGACCGCTCATCTACAGACTAGCCTCCTCAGCCAAGGTCTCGGGCCAGCTGGCTTCACTCTCCCCTCCTACTGACCAACAAGTTCAATGGCTGACCTGCGGGTGTGCAGTTCTGGCTCTTGGAGGCTCCAAGCGTGAGAGCAAAACTGCTCCATAGGGTTTTCAGGACTGTGACCTTTCAGAAGCACACCGCCAGGCCTGTCTTCCTAGGTGCTTCTGAGTGGGTTAGAACCTCCGATCTTTAAGTTAGTGGTGGAGCACTTAACCCTTTGCACTCCGACCTGGGGACTCCCCTCCTGACCTCGTAATAGTCTCCTCCTCTTTCCAGGAAAAAAAATTAAAAAACTCCTATAGACAGGCTCCCGATTAATCAACTTGCCAATTCCTTTTTGGGGAAGAGGGGAGCTGAGGAAAGGGGAATTCGGTGAATTCACTTCTTGTGAAGAGCAGCATCTAAGGAGCTCTGGTAGTGTAGTGGTTATGAATCGGGTTGCAGAACCGCAAGGTCAGCAGTTCGAAACTACCAGCTGCTCCGCGGGAGAAAGATGAGGCTTTGCTCCCGTAAAGATTCACAGCCTCGGGAACCCTGTGCAGGGTCACAATGAGTCCATGACACATAACAACAACAGCACCGCTACTGCCTCACCCCAACCCCCATACTGACCACCACTCCACTCCTTTCCTGGGAGTTAAGCCTGGGTCTATTCTCCCAATCTCAGGATTTGCCCAACAACTCCTCTCCAACCAGAAGCCCTGGTGGCACTGTAGGGTAAACACTGGACTGCTAAACCTCAACGTTGGCGGTTCAAACACACCAGCCACTCTGCTAGAGAAAGATGAGGCTTTCTGCTCCTGCCAAGACTTACTGCCTAGAAACCCTATACAGGGGCAGGGTCATTGTGAGTCGGAACCGACTCCATGGCAGTGGTTTTGGATTGAGTTTCTATAGGCAAAGTCCATCATTTCTTCTCCCAGGGCCCATTAAACCATTTCAACGGCCCTTTTAGACTCATTGTTGGCCCACTCTCCTTCCACGACCGCTGTCTCTTTCCTTCTCTGGGGGAATTAAACATTATTCAAAGGACATAGACCAGCCACTTCTCACCTTTCCAACCCTGTAGCCACCTTCTCCTCTAGCCCCCTCTAGCTCCAAACTGTCGCCTTTAAGTATCATCAGATGCAACTTAACGAGCGCCACCTCCGTGCCGAGCGCTGCACTGACCCCAAGTCCCCCGCGAGCCCGCCCCCGCCGTAGCTACCGTGTCTCCAGGGATCTTTGGGTTCCACAGCTCCGGACACGATATCTTCATCCGACGGGAACGTGACACGCTTGGCTGCAGCCTTGAGGCGACCGTCGGCTGGGGGCGATGCGGGACTAGGGGGTCGGGCCTCGACAGGGGCCTCCTCGGCATCGCCGTTCGCGCCCGGCCCGGGTGGCGCCTCCTGCGGCGGGAGCTCCATCTCCGCCGCCGCCTCCTCACGGGGGCCCCGGAGACATGCCCCGGGCCCCGGACTTGTCTCTCCGGGTCCGCCTGCCGTCCCGGGGCATGGGCTCCGCCGCTGCTTCAGGCGCCGCCTCCGCCCGCTCTCCTTGTCGTCGTAGTCGTCGCCGCCGGGATCACAAGAGCACCTGCTCGTCCGCAATCGCACTTTCGCTAAAGACTGGTGAGTTTGCCGTCTACCGATAAAAGCAGAAAATCAATTAAAGCTATTTGCAGGCAGCGTTGTCTCGCGGATGATAAGGAAGAGAAAATAATGAGCAGAAAACCACAGGGAAAAGAGACGAGAGCAGTGAATCGGCAGAGCAGAAACTGTAGATATAAGGGGCGGGGCGACATGGACGCCGTCTCCCAGAGCAGCGCGCAAGCGCGAACCTCAACCCCACCCCCTCCACCCAATGTTCGGGCTCGCACACATTTGTCACGAGCCCAGGTGACGGAGATGAGGGTGGAGTTGCTAGAAATAAAAACATCTGCTTGGCGGGGTTAGGCTAACTGATGAGGAGAAAGGCAAAAGGATGAAAAACTTGTAAAGCTGTGTTGAATATAAATACAAGTGATGGGTGCCGACAGGATGAAGATCTCTGCTGGGAGGGTACTCTGCTCCTAGCCTTGTATCTTTAGATTGCAGTTCCATAAGTATTTCTTTGTAGTTGGGCAGCATTGCTTAGAATATAACTTAATACTATATGAGCCCGCGAAGGGCATCTTATCCCTGATGTTTTTGTAACTGAGAGAAGGAAGAAATTCCAAAGACAAGACGACTGCCAACCAAAATATCGGGTGTCCCTGATGACCGGGCACTAGCTTAAGCCACACCCCTCACGTGTTTAGTTTAATCATTTAACATTGGTCTCAGCACTTTCGCCATGCTTCCTAAGCCAGGTTTATTGTTGTTAAGGGTCATGGAATCTGTTCCAACAACCCCGTATAGGGCTTTCAAGGAGCGGTTGGTGGGCTTGAACTGCCAACCTTGTGTTTAACAGTCCAATGCTTATCTTACACCACCACACTGGGAGAAGGCGGGGCTAAAACCATAATTGGAGTTTGGGGAGGGGCAAGTGATGCCTCCAGTTGCCAAGGTAATTTTGGTGCTTTTACTGGCCAGAGGCGGCGTGAATGGACGGAAGAGAATGGAGGCTATCTGCTTGCTTCATTCAAAAAGCTCTACGAAGTCGAACGAAACAAACCTCTTCTATATCATAATGGCATTCTTTACTTACATTCTGAACATGAAAGAGCCACAAACCATTTTTTAATGGGTCTGCTAAGAGTGGGCCTCAAGTGACAAGGGACTAAATTGAGTTGTTTTGTAGTTTAGAGCAGGTGTACACAGGCCAAGCTAGAGTGAAATGGAGACTGAAAGCTCCTATCCCCAGATCCTTCCTAACCCCTAATCTTTCACTTCTTCTCTTGGGGTCCACTGTCTTTTGTGTGCATTCCACACTATCAAGAGGTGGACAATGAGAGTTCTTCGCGCAACACAACCCTTGCCTTATAAGGTACTTCCCACTACACTCCCCTCAACAGAAATTATGATCAACCCTGGTGTGGCGCTGTGGATTAATGCGCCAGACTGCAAAGCCGTTTGAACTGTAAGGTTGGCGGTTCAAGCTCACCAGCTGCTCCTCGGAAACCCTATATAGGGTCGCTATGGGTCGGAACCGACTCCACGGCTAATAGCAACAACCACACTTCCCTACTGTCATTCTCTGAGTGGTGGTCCAATATCTGCATCTTTATCTGAATTTGTCCCACTCCCTTGTGGCCCAGCTCCACCACACCATGCTCCTGGTGAGCCTTCATTACCCAAAATCCGCTATCTAGTTCATTCTGACTCACAGCAACGCTACAGGACAAGGGAGAATTGCCCCGTAGGGTTTCTAAGACTGGAATCTTAACAGACGCAGGTCTCCAGGTCTTTCTCCCACAGATGTGCGGGGGGTGGGGGGGTGGGGGGGTGTTTCAATGTTCTGCTAGCCACCCACCCACCCATTCCAACTCACAGAGATCTAGGGAACAGAGTAGGGTTTCCAAGGCTTAAGTCTTTATGGAAGCAGACTGCTACACTTTTCTCCTGTGAAGCAGCTGGTGAGTTCCTGCCCACCTTTTGGTTAGCAGCCAAGCGCCACCATGTACCAATAGTGTTGTAGGTAACGTGTTGGGCAGCTAACCACAAGGTCAGTAGTTCAAATCTACTGGCGCTCTATGGGAGAAAGATGAGGCTTTCTACTCCCTTAAAGATTTACAGGGAATCCTGGTATGGTGCTGCAAGATAATGCACTGGACTGCAATATCGGTTTGAATTGCAAGGTCAGTTTGAACCACAAGGTTGTCGGTTCAAACCCACCAGTCGCTCCTCGGACAGGAACCGACTCGACTGCACTTAATAACAACAAAGATAAACGGCCTTGGTTGCTATGAGTCGCAACCAACATCAAGGCACATCACCAGCACCACCCTCCAAACATGTCTTGAGCCTCTGGGGTGCGCACACACACACACACACACACACACATACAACAAAAAACCAGGAGTCTGATTTTCTTGGGGAAATTGTTCTTTGGCAGGAGGGGAGCAGTGGGAAGTCTCTTCAATAAACCATTTCCCACCCTGTCATTCGTTTTCTTTCTCATGCCAGCCTTCCAGCCCTGACATGAGGTAGAGCAGTCTTCAGCAGGAACTCGAACTCCTCGGATTACACAATTTTCCTAAATCTTGGAGGTCCCAAGAAACCCAAGTTGCTGGCAGCTTGGCTCAAAGTTCCAAGGGAGCTCTGAACTCTTGGCGACCCAGAGTTCCTTGGGAATGGGGCTCCAGTGGCTGTGAAGCCCGGAGCTCACAGCGCAGGGGCATCTGGGCTACTGTGGCTAAGGCAGGAAGGTGTTCAGGGCTTGAAAGTATATGCAATGATGTCACTACATCGGAGCAGCGCCTCGGCTTGCACACCTATGGGAGTCTGCAGCTGCGACACGTAGAAGTTGGCTACGTCAAGGTCGGTGGCTCCAAAATGGGCAGTCACGTGCACACCTTCGTGCAATGTGAAGCTCACCTGGTGACCCCCCATGGCCAACAGGCTGCGGAGGAAGCGCTCCCGGAGGCTGGCTCGGGCCCGCTGTTCTTGAGATTCCCGAGATTCTTGAATCTCGCGAGACTCCTGGGTATCTGGCTTCAGCAGGGCCCTGCGTACATCAGGGGCAAAGCCACGGCTTGAGCCATCGGGGCCTCGGGGCAGCCTGAGCACGGGCACAGGCGTGCTCAGTGAAGTCTGCATTGCCCAGCTGTGGGTGAGAGAAGTAGGGAAGACATAAGCTAGGGGATGTGGGGGCTAAGGAGAGTGGAGGATCTTGGATACAGAGGCAAGTCTGCCTGACAGCGCAACTGAAACTGTCCAGAACCTGACTCCTGATCCCCTCCAGCCCTAACATCTCACCACCTCTCCCCCAGTCTCCTTTCTCAGAACCTGACACCACCAGTCACCCCATGACTTGGAGCAGAAACACTGTGATATACACAAGCACGTGAATTCCATGAGGGCAGGGGTTTTGTCTGCTTTTAATCACAGCTTCATCCCAGTTCCTGGCTCAGTCAACATATCTGCTGAGAGAACCCAGCCTTCTTTCTCTCTGCCACCTATCCAACCCATCAGGAAGTCCTAGCTTCCAAATAGATTCACAATTACACAGGAGCTAGTGTGAAAGGGCTCCCACTGGCCAAATATCGAATCACTGGAGCATTGGGGCTATCTTCCTGGGTCTCTGAGAAAAGTCATGCAGGTGACAAGTGGCATGAAACTTCATGCCGCACCAGACCTTGTATGATGCATCTCTTCACATTTAGCCTGTAGGTCAGGATCTACTCAAAAGTTTTTCCAGGAACTTCAAAAAGTTCGTTGAGAAATGGAATCAATGTATAATGGAACATTTCTATGAACTTTCTGTAGTCCCTTTGTAGAATAGCAAACTTGTTGTGAAAAGAGCCAAAAGAATCGAGTTGTATATATTCAAACTCCATGAGGCTTTCTTGGCTGTACTCTCTGCAGAAGCAGATCTCTAAGCCTTTCTCCCATGGGGCCACTGGGTGGGTTCGAACCAACCTTTAGAAGCAGCAGGCCTCCAGAAGAACTAGATGGTGTCGGACCACAACCAGCAGCTCTGGTCAGGTTCACGATGCAAGGTCCTAGAATGGGAGAAAGTTATAGAGCAAAATTCAAAATCATAAAAAAGATCAGACTTACTGGTCACATGGAACCCCTGAGACCATGGCCCTTTGGCACCCTTCAAACCCAGAACTGAATCCACTCCAAGGATAGCCTTTCAGTCAAATACCAAACAGGCCTAGAAAGTAAACAGTAACACCTGTGAAAAACGTGCGCCTCGGCACAATCAACCATACACCAAGACCAACAGGGTGGCCAATTATATATAGATATAGATCTCTCTCTCTCTCTCTCTCTATATATATATATATATGAAAGCTAAGAAGACAGAAAGGGACAGCAAGAAAGGACAAATGGAGATGGGGAGCCCAGGGAGGAAGTGGGAAGAATACTGTTACACTGAGGGGGTCACAGTTAATGTCATGAAACAAACAAGTGTATAAATTGTTGGATGGAAAACCAGTTCAGTCTGTAAACTTTCATGGAAACCATATTGAAAAAGTAATAGCAGCAGCAGTCCCAGGTGCCCACACAGACTGTTGCTAACTGAAGACTCAGTTATGGTGCCACCTGGGATGTTGAGAAGCTGTCCTATAGGATGTGGAACCAATCTGAACCAGTTGACCAAACCCAAATGATGGGGTTTCTCTCAGTGCCAGAATACTTGGCTCTGAGAACCAACGGGACGGTAAAGTGAGTGGCAGCTCACAGTATTGACCCTAGTTATCCACAGAAAATAATCAAATGATGGGTGCAGATTA